GTGTGTGTGTGTGTGTGTGTGTGTGTGTGTGTGTGTGAGAGGGGCTGCATGTGTCAGCAGGTGGGAGAGAGGCGGTGATTCACTCAGAGCTGCATTTTGTTTGCGAACAGAACTGGTTTTGATGCCCCGAAGCTGTTCAGCACGCCTGCTTTGTGTGTTTTGTAATCTGGGGGACGGCGTTCCTGTCAGACTTTTTCCCCGGATTCCTCAGATATTAAACAAGACTCAGTGTAATGTTGGGAACTCTCAACAAAATAACTCACATGACGGTCTGTATTTACTGAACCTGATAAACTCGCACAGAGTCGTGCCTCCTCCAAGTGCACATCTGTTTGTGAATGATAGTCACTGTGTGCTGTCGGGCTAGACCCTAGTGATTAAGGAGGCGAGGAGACGTTAACGGGTGTCTGTCTGTGTGCGACAGTGTTAACAAACACACAAACATGAAGTATAAAGATTACCAGTTAAACCAGGTTTACTTCAGTAAGTCAGGCTTATCTTCAGGAAACTGTGTATAAGAAGCAAGACCTTTGATCTCATTCCCACTTCTTCTTAGCGTCTTTCTGCACCATAACTTACATATTACATTAATATTGCACATAGTTCTTTTTAAATTAAATTTGTCATTTTGTCACAAAACAGGACATTTCCTGACACAGGACCTAAATAAGTAATTAAAAAACAATAATTACATAAAAGTTAATAAAGAAACATTTACAAAAGAAGCATTTACTGCAAAGCAAGGTCAGTTACAGATGAAGATATTTCACATATTTATATGTACTTATATACGTAAATATATATCTTTTTACAGTTTAGTTTTCCTTTTATTTCTTCTGTTTATAGATGTTCTGTGTGTAATATGGAGTCGGTGCAGCTGCATTTCATTGTGTAATCCTGTATTGTATAATGAAAATACAGCTGGAGCTTGAACCTTGATCAGTGGGTTAATCGCTATCTTTGGGCTTAACTCAGTTTAATTTGGAGAACAAAATCACTCCGTGAACAAACTAACAGAGTCGTGTGTCAGCAGAGATCTCCGACTCTCAGAAGTAGAGATGAACTCAAGTCAGCTGTTATTTATTATGTGAACTTTCTTTATATAATTAGTGCTGAAAATCAAAGATGCATAAGATTACTATGAAACAACTTGAATAAGTAAAATTAAGTAAATAATGACCTTTGTTTCCGATAAGTTCTCTCTTAATTGAACTGTTACTTGCTTTTGATAAGTGACATTACAGCGTCCATATGGTGCAAATAAAGTGTAAATAAATAGATTTCTTGGTTTATGGTTCTGTAATTTGATGTGGTGACATTTAAAGATAGAACAAATGTTTCTCACAATGAGGCTGCAGCATCAAGTCAAAGCTGTTTGTCAGTTTTATTTTAAATGCAGCCATTTTAAAAACAAACAATATGTTGACTTTTAGATTGAAAAAGATATGACTTCAGATTTCAATCATGCAATTAAGTGTCAACCTCTGACGGAAAGACTTTTTTAAACCTCCTTTATGAAACAGAATTTCCAGAAAATCTGCCTGACTTACTTAAACAAGTCTGGTTTAACTGGTAATCTTGCTTCATGAAACATTTAACGTGACGCACCAGATGGTTTGTCTCACAGAACCATCTAAGAAGTCATTGTTGGAAACTGTCTGGAAAAGGGCCGGCGCGTTAAAGAAATACTAGGCGTGTGATTGGTTGAACCGCCTGTCAATCAAACTCTTATCAAAGCCAGCTGGGAGAAGAGTGAAAGCATATTTTCCATCGTTCTTTGAAATACTCTCCAGCTCTGATATAACTGATGCTAATGCAGCATCGACGCTAACCTCTTCAGGAAACGCCATTTTTGTTTTGAACAGTCAGTCTCCTCTCTGTGTCTCGTATCTCACACACCTGAACCATCCCAGTAGCTTCCAGTGACCTCTCACCGGACTCTGTGGTTTTTACACAAACACGTTCCCAGAAGCCTGACTAGACGGATTTACCCACAATGCTCATGTGATCTCGTGATATTGTGAGAATCCAGCTGCCGTGCGAGGTATTAAAACATGTTTGTGATACCAGTTGTGGAGGATCAGCGATGTTAGAGGAGTCAGAGCTCACACCGCTGACCTAAAACATGAAGCCAAAAGTTCTCCTGGGCTTTGATTTCATATTTTATTCTCCATCTTATGTCTTTAAATATGCAGTTTAGTCTTAACGCGTCTGTTTTCTTCACGTGCTTGATGTTTATTAAGTGTTTGAAAGAAATTAAATGAAATAAACCAGACGTGACTCTTTTATGAAACAGTGAGAGGTTTACTTTTCTCTTTTTGACGTAGAAGACGGTACATTTATTTTGACCCAGATGGTCACCACTGAGGCAGCTGTTAATCTTTCATTAAACAGAGGAGCTCATTCCAGAGGATTTGCCCTTTAAATACACTCGGCAGCACATTTTATCCCATGTGAGGATTTATGTGTCTTTGGGAGCATTTGTTTTGGTAGCCAGGAGAAGGTCAAAAGAGCCGGTCCGGAGTTCATTCAGGCCTCAGAGCCCAGATTCACAAGACAGCCTCCCCCTCCTCCCCCTCCAGCATTGAGAGGCTTCTTCACCAAACAGAGGACAGGCTCTGTCTGCAGCGGTCAGCGATTGTTTGAGAAGAAGAAGAAGAAGAAGAAGAAGAAGAAAGAGATCGGTGCAGCCCGGAGCGCCGTGTTCCTCCGTGTGTTGGATGGTTTTCAATTTAAATGCCAGGAAAAGAAAAACACAAGGAATGTTCTGTCACGTTCAAAGTGGTCACTTTTCCCCCGTTGAATCAAGTATATAAGAGGGAAGAATGGATCTTTTCAAGTAAACAAAAGAAACAAAAACGTACCGTTGTTTTATTTAATGCTGTAATTCAGACTTTAAAGAGATACGTGCAGCATGAAACATGAAGAAGCACGCGGGGATCTCGACTTGTAGCATCATTTTCAACACAAAAAGCCTCAAAGTTTCAGATAAACAACCTTTTCATGCATTCCACTCAGCCGAATGCAGTCATCCGTGAGCAGCCGGGTGTCGATGTGAGTAAGAGTTTAACAGGCAGTGTAGAAAAGCCTGTTGGGCTCCCCGCGGTGCTCTGCAGCCGGGCCTAATCCTTACAGCTGACGTCTCTGCCAAGGATCCAGACTATCGGTTACTCTGCTTGATGGAATGCAGGCCACACACACACACACACACACACCTACACACACCTACACACACACACACACACACTGATTCAGAAAACACCTCACGTCTTCAGATAAAAAACAAACTTTGGAGTTGTTATCATATGATTTATTTTTGTTTTTGCCTCCCACAGAAGCTCCAGTCGTGTGGAGACATAGCCCAGCTCAGCGCCCCCCCGCCCCAGAGAAGAGCCAAGTCTCTGGACCGCAGGACTTCTGACACCGCCATGACGGTGAGACACCAAACAGAACCAGGTTTTTCACTCGTGATTCGTTCTTCAACAAACTTCAAACTAATTATTTGTGGCTGCATCAAAGGCGTGGAGCGGTGAGACGTAACCTCTTTAAACTACGTCTCAGATATAAAACATGGCTGCCGCGACAGCGACACCTAGAGGCCGTGCAGCTCATTACACGTCCAATAGTTCAGAGAAGAGACCAAATCTGTGGTGGAGGAAGTATTCACATCCTTTTACTTCAGTGGAAGTAATAATACCACACTGTGAAAACAAGAAAACACAAATAAAAGTATTAACATGTAGTTAAAATCATAAAACTGTGTCTGTTCTATTATTATATATTCTATCATTAGATTATTATTACTGATGAACGATTATTTTCATTATTAATTAATCTGCTGATTATTTTCTCCATTAATCGATCGATTGTTTGATTTGTAGAAATAGTGAAAATAGTAACTGTGAGAAATATTAAGTTTTGTAAAAAGTACTGAGGTGATGTATAAGAGAGCAAAGAATACTTAAGTATAAGTACCTTAAACTTGTGCTTGAGTAAAGTACTTTTCTTCACTGCTTGCAAACATGAAAAGATAAAAAGTTTCACATATTTAAAACTTAAAACTTGAAGTTAAAATATGAATATGAACTACAATTACAAACATTAAAGCTACATTCCTCGTTATAAACGTAACCTTGCATCACTTATATTACATTTATTTCTCAATAAACAAAGTTAAGTTTGGTTTCACAAAGTAACACAAATTAACCAAACCTTTGAGCTGCTGCACTGACACACAAGTCTGATTATTGTTGTTAACAGTAAACGTGTTAACTTTGTGTTTTCTTTACAGCCAGATTTATTAAACTTCAAAAAAGGCTGGATGGTGAAATTGGATGAAAATGAGCAGGTAAACATTTGAAGTGTCCGAAACTAAACTTAAGTTCTTGATTTGAATGATTTGTAAACATCTTGTTTGTGTTTCGGTTCTAGTGGAAGAAATATTGGTTTGTGCTGTCGATGGACAGTCTGAGGTGCTACAAGGACTCCGTAGCTGAGGAGGTATTTTAATATTAGTTATTTTATATAGAAAACAAATAAGAAGTGTTTAATTTATAATTCTCAAACGTCTTTTTCTCTCTTTTTTCAGGCTTCAGATCTGGAAGGAGAAATCGACCTGACGAAGTGTTATAGTGTGTCTGAGTACCAGGTGCAGAGGAACTATGGCTTTCAGATCTATGTAAGAAAACAGTTCCTACTCTAAACATGCAAATATGTTTCCTCTGCATCAACATTAAAGTAAGTAAAATGTTTGTTTTAGACCCCAAAGGGCGTCTTCACGTTGTCAGCGATGACTTCAGGGATACGGAGGAACTGGATCCAGGCTCTGATGAAAAGCGTTCGTCCAGCTGGAGCCCCGGATGTGGCCAGGTACATTTAAACACTCTTTTAGTGTTATAATGACATGTAACATCCTAAAGCAGTCATAATGTAGCCAGCCTTCGATGTCAGTTTAATTAAACCTAAAGACATTTAATCGTTTTTATTATAAATAGAAAAAGAAATCTGCGTATTTTGAAACCAATCAGGGAAGAAGTTCTAAGGTCTTATATGAAAGTACCAACACATCAATGTAGAAATACTTTATTCAGATTCTTACTTAAATAGAAGTACTCAAGTATTATCAGATACATTTACTTAAAGTATTAAAAGTAAACGTCTTGAAATAACTTGTTTTGTCCGACCAGTAGTCCAAAACCCAAAGATGTTTAATTTACTCTGATATAAGACAGTGAAAAGTAGAAAATCCTCACATTTTTAACAGTTACTTATAAAAATGAATTTCTCGACATTTCCATGTTTTCCTGTTCTCCATCTAAACATACCTCCGTGTTTTCTGCAGTTTACCCAGCCACCACGTCTCCTGCAGCCCCCCCGAAGCTCTCCCCAAACCAGATGTGACTCAGGACTCCGCTGACGTCTCCACAGAGAGAGACCCTCACCCCAAACACAGGACCGTGATGGAGAGACGGCGAGAGGGACGCTACAAAACCTTCGACTGGGCCGAGTTCAGGCCGCAGAGCAAACGCACTCTGGATCCTCAGAGGACCAGAGCTCTGTGCTCGCTGGAGTTCGGGGAGCTGGAGAGGAGGAAGAGGAGGGAGGAGAGGAGGAGGAGGTACGAGAGCATGCTGGGCTTCCCTCTGGGTTGGGAGGTGATCGGAGGTACAGCAGCAGACGGCGGCGTCAGAGCGCTGAGTCCCAAATCTCAGCAGAAAGTGGAAGAAGAGATCGAAGAGTGCTGGAAGCTGGTGGAGAAGACGGTGTTCAGACTGGAGAGAAACGTCCCGCTGATCACCGACGACAAAGACTCTGTGGAGGCCGAGAAGCTGCTGGACGGCTACAGGAAGGGGGTGAGTGCCTCGCGTCTGGCTTCAACTCATAACAATATAGATAACAGATAATTATACTGTAGCTACAGAAACGTGAGAAGCTTTTTATACAAACTGGTTTTCTGTTGAAGGTGGAGGATCTGAAGGCTCAGCTGGTCGAGTCGGAGCGTCACAGACTGGATCTGGAGGCTCAGCTGAGTACAGCGGGATTTCATACGCTGCAGGTTCGCTCAGCTACTCGCTTTCTTCTCGGTGTTTGATACCCGTGTGGTCGCTTATGCTTCTTTATGTCTCCGTTTCTCTGTTGTCTTTCTCAGCTGGACCCTCCTCTGACTCCCGAAGCAGATTTTTGCCCATCGGACACAAATGAGAAGCCGTTGAACGGCAGCACGCAGACCCTGAAGGATGTGTGCAAAGAAACCAGAGAGAACCTCATCAACATGCAGGAGCAGCTCAGCTTCGAGTCGCCTTCACTAACGCCTGAGACGCCCAGCATCTGGCTGCACGATGCGGAGGGCAACTTCCAGGAACTGGGTGATTTGCTTCCTGAGACAGAAGACACACCTTTATTATTATCACCTACATCAGAGAAACAACTGTTATTCTCTCAGAGCGACGGACAAACAGTCAACCACCAGAATCAGCTGGACAGAGGCGACCGTGAGCAAGTTCCCAGCTCGGAAACACAAATACATAACGGTGAATTTAGTTCATTAATTCTGGAGACGCCTTCAGAGGGAGACGACGACGACTCGCTCGGCTGCTGTGTGGAGCTACATTCACCTCCAGACCAGGCGACGGTGAGGAGGCTCTCCCAAGAGGTGGAGCTGCTCACCAGCCAGAACGAGGCTCTCAACCAACGCAACCAGGAGATGCTGAACCAGCTGACTGAGGCCGACCGTGAGATAGAGAGACTGAAAGCAGAGCTCAGCAGCAGGTACACCGAACCCCATCACCTCCCTGAAGTGGAACAGCTGGGACAAACCAGGCTGGAAGATCTGGAGAGCGAGCTGAGCTCCAGAGACCGGCAGCTCCTGGAGGCCCAAACCGTGATCGCCTCCCTGGAGGAGAATCTGAGGGAGATGGAGGCGCTGCTGCAGCTGAACGTCCCGAAAGAAACAGAAGAAACAGGACAGGAGAATAAAGGATACCTGCTCCGGTGTTTCGAGGCCACAGAGGCCAAGCTGACGGAGCTGGAGAGGAAGCTCGACCAATCAGAGCTCACCTGCAGGGAGCTCCGCACGCAGAACGCAGAGCTGAGGGAAGCTGAGAAACGATGCAATGAAACAGCCGCCGAGGCCGAGGCCGACGTCAGGAGGCTGAATCAAGAGTTGGAGAAGGAGAAGCTGAAAGATGGAGAGAGCAACGGATGTGCTTCTGGTGAAGAAAGGATCCGGCAAGTGATAGACGGGATGGTCATGAGGTTGAAAGCTTTGGAGAAGTTACTGGAGGTGATGAACAAGTTTGATGTTGGTTTGAGAACGGAGGAAGAGACGACGGCCACAGTGGAGAGTCAGCTGAGGTGGGAGGAAGAGTTTTGGGGTTTTCTGCTCGACAAACTGAAGGTGAATCCGTCTGAGCTTCGTGAGGAGGAACCTGTGGAAGAGCTTCTTAGTGAGGTGACGGAACGTATGATGGTGGAGAAACAAATGCTGCTGTTAGGGCATCGCCTGCTCTCTGAGACGTGCACCGACAACGGTGTGAAACAACTGGACATTATTTGGAATATTGCAAGTGAGACAGAAACCAACCAGATGGTTGATTTCAACAACCAGCTATATGAGATGGAGTATTTCAGAAGCGCCACACAGGTGAAGATCTCTTTGCTGAACCACCTCGCCTCCTCGGTCGGCACCTCGGCCCACGACAAACTGCAGCTGGCGGCCGACCGGCTCTCCGACCGGCACCCCTGGTCTGGTTTCATTCACTCTGCAGCAACGGAGGCCTTGCACTGCTGTCATTTAAGCAGACTTCAGTCAAAGTACGAGAGGCGACTAGAAGAAACCAAACAGGAACTCACTTCTTCTCTCGTCTGCAGCAACTGTGTTGCCTTGATGGAGGAAAACAGGGAGCTGAGAGCAAGAATGTCAGACTTAGAAGCACAGCAGTCGTCGTCGTCTTTGGGCGATACGATGAACAGCTGTTGTCAGACAGAAGAAGCTTACCCACAGGACACAGATGTTAAGTTACAGGTCGTAGATGGAAGTGTTACAGGTGAAACTGGGGAGGAAGAGGCCGAGAGCCTGGAAGGTCAGCTGGAGATCCAGGAGACGGCAGAAGGAAACACAGAGGAAAGTGAAGCGACGCACAAGGAAACGGATCCTTTGGACGTAGAGACGGAGCAAGTTTCAGTGCTGAGGAGGAGAGTGGAGGAGCTGGAGGAGCAGCTGGCCGTCATGGCGGAGGAGGTGAAAGAAGAGCTTGATGGGAAAATGAGTTCTGTTCAGACGCAACACGAGACAGAGATGGAAAAGCTGAAGGTAAGAGGAGCGGTTAACATAAACGTTATGACCTCAGATTAAAGTTTGAACTTATTCAAGGATCATTTGATCTTCTTCAGACCGGACTCACTTATTTTATTAAAGGGGAGCTCCACCCACTTTACACATCATAGAAAATAATCAATAGGTGCAGCGTCAGTGAGTTAACTTTAATACCACAGAGAAAAGTGATGGAAACCAATGACGGCCTGAAACATAAAGATAAAAGAGTTCAATAACGTTCTCTATCACAGTTTATGTAATTTCATATTACTATATCTTTATATCTTTATATGGAGAATCAATCATTACATTTTGCTTCCAATAGTCTAATTAATTATGAGATATTAAATTTATATTTCGCCGTACGAGGGTCCTAAACTTAAAACGTCTTTTAACTCATTTAACGTAGTTTGATTTTTGGATATTTGAGTTCTTCAAATTAATACTTCATGACATCACCAAACTCTTTCATTTTATTGTTTTCATTGAGAGAAAATGACATATTGTGTGTTTACACTTTCCTGAGTGGCGGCTGTGATAGATATCTGACAGATTAACATGTTTTATGTGTAACATGCTGAAGTTTATGTATTGAGTTTGTGAGTCGTGTGAACGTCTCCAGGCGACGTGTGAGCGCGGCTTCGCCTCCATGGAGGTGTCGCACCTGAAGGTGGTGGAGGAACTGCAGCATCAACACCAACAGAAAGTGGAGCGCCTCCTGGTGGAGAGAGACGGACTGCTGGAGGAGGAGGGCGCTGCTACTGCAACCGGTGAGCAAGGCACTCTCATCACTCCTCACTTTTATTTTGAAAATCTGCCTATAAGGAAGAATTAAACCCATCGAGCTGTTGAGTCTCCTTCAGCTTTAACTCTCGTGTTCTTAACATTATTAAATATTTAAAGGTAAAACAATTGATTACTTGAAAAGATTTAATATGAATGTATTTCGATGGTAAAAATAACATTTGTAAAGAGTTTGACATGTTTATTATCACCATTATCAAACTTTACAGAATGTGTTCATGTGTCAAGCTGCTTCTGATATTCAACATATGAATCTTTAATAATCATAAAATCTTGTTTCAGCCATCGAAGCCATCAAGAACGCTCAGCGGCTGGAGCTGGAGAAGGAGGTGCAGAAGAGATGTCAGTCCCAGAACAGCACAGGAAACACTCACCTGGAGGACGTATACAGACAGCACAGGTGCGTCTTCTAAACCTCATCATTTGGGCGTCTCGTGGGGTTTAACGTGTTCTTATGGAACGTTGATCTTCAGATCGAATGTCTCTGTGTTTGTGAAGTGAGGAGCTGGCGTCGTACCAGCGGGAGCTGGAGGTTTTGTCCCAGCAGTTCTCTCTGAAGTGTCTGGAGAACGGACATCTGGTCCAGGCTGTGGATGCTGAGAGGAAGGCCTTGTGTCAGTGCCAGCAGGAGAACCAGGACCTGAGGACCAGAAACCAGGCGAGAGCTCCGATACGCCTCCTTTAATACATTACAGACTTGTTCTCCTACACAGTTACCACCTGCAGACACCCAGGGTGTAAAACTACTCCCAGTGCCTCGATTAAAGAGAGAATTATATGTTATTACGGTATATTTCAGATTATTATTGTCATTAAGTAAGAGGCCTCATTGTGGTTTTGTTTCTGTCGTCCAGGAGCTGAGCGGTCACCTCGCAGCAGAGATCACCCGACTCTGTTCTCTGGCCAAGCAGGATGCCCTGCCGCTCAGTCAGGGGATGGACGTGTACGAGATGGAGGTACGTCAATAATATGTCAATAATAACCACAGCATGTGCAATATCACTCTCAGTAATCTGTGTGCAATAAGACTTTCTACTACTTGTTCAATGTCATTGACATTATCTCTCTTAATATCGTGCTTAATATTACTTTTCCATCAGGCACTGGTGTCAGTATCACTTCTTACATACTTTATATTTTTACTCTTTGTTGTATTTTAGTTGAATTTTTTACTTTGATTCTTTACATCATTTATTTTTCGAAAGATGTGAAGCTGATTGTTTGATTTTGTCTCAGATCACCCTCCGAGTGAAGGAGTCTGAGGTTCAGTGTCTGAAGCAGGAGATCACGTCTCTGAGGGACGACCTGCAGTCGGCACAGAGGGTGAGAATCACACACGGACAGCTGCTGGAGTCATAAATAACATCTGTGAACCAAAAAGAGAAGAAGTGACCGTGGTGTGTGTGTGTGTGTATGTATATGTATATGTATATGTATATGTATATATGTATATGTGTGTATATGTATATGTATATGTATATGTATATATGTATATGTGTATATATATATATGTATATGTGTATATGTGTATATGTGTATATGTGTATATGTGTATATATGTATATGTGTATATATATATATGTATATGTGTGTATATATAT